AGCCAGTCCTCAGTTTCCTATACCAAATCTTTTCTAACCCAACCTTTGAATGATGGTATTCCCCAAGACCTCTCTTCTCTATTAGCATTCTGAAATCACATAACACCCTATACACTGTTCCATTTCCCTGTGAGTCTTAAGGTAGCCCCATCATCTAGCGCAGTGCCTGACTGAATGAATGAAGGAACTCTACTCACCTTCTGTTAGTGATTTCATTATTTCTGGGGGGTGAGTTTGTTTGTTTTTGAGATGGAATCTCACTCTGTCTCCCAGGCTGGAGTGCAGTGGCGCAATCTTGGCTCACTGCAACCTCCACCTCCCAGGTTCAAGCAATTCTCCTGCCTCAGCCTCCCGAGTAGCTGGGGCTACCGGCGTGTGCCTGGCTAATTTTTTGTATTTTTGGTAGAGGCGGGGTTTCACCATCTTAGCCAGGATGGTCTCAATCTCCTCTCCTGACTTCATTATCTGCCCGCCCCAGCCTCCCAAAGTGCTGGGACTATAGGTGTGAACCACCATGCCTGGTCAGTGATTTCATTCTTCTATAGCTTCATCATATTAACTACTAACAACTCCCAAGTCCATTTCTCTAACCTAGACCTGTCCTCTTCTTCAAAACCTATAATTCAAAGTCCTACAAGTTAGGCAATATAAAAAAATACAGACAGACAAGAGGCAGAAAAGAAAAAGTAGACAGGAAGAAAGTATTACAATAGTCCAGACAAGAGCTGATAACAGTGTAAGCTGTAGCATAGCAGTGAAAGCAGTTAATTTTTTAAAGAGGTCAAATTCTGAATAAGTTTGAAAACAGAGCTGACAGGATTTGATAAGAAAAGACTAAGAGAAAAAAGAATCAAGAAAAATTCTTAGAAATAACTTTTAGTTAGCCTGGTTTTATTTTTGTGATTGTTTTAATTAGAAAGAACATCTTTCCTCAAATTTTATACTTTTATAGTCTTGGGAAAATAACCCAGAAAATTTTCCACTAGCAAAGTAAATAGTACATATCATTTAGAGCATAAACAGAATCGAAACTACCACCTCTTTTTCCAAAATAAACCATTCAGTTCCAGTCATCTCAAATGAGTAGCAAAAGTAACATTAAAACACCCACTTCACTGACGAAAATAATTCCATCTCTATGTAATACCCATAATATTTATTCAGTAGAACAAATCCCAATATCACTAATATAATATTCTATAACTACATTTCAGAATTATAAAACAGAGGAGAAAATTCACTGCCTTATGAAATATGCTGCATAATTACTGCTTATTTATCTAGCTACAATAATATGTCCCTTATAAAATGCATTAATTAGAGCAGGGTTCCGCAACGAAGGGGCCATGGGCTAGTACCAGCCTGTTAGGAACTGGGCTTCACAGTAGGAGGTGGGCAGCAGGCAAGCAAGCATTACTGCTTGAGCTCCATCTCTTGTCAGATCAGCAGCGGCATTAATTCCCATAGGAGTGTGAAATCCACTGTGAATTGTGCACATGAGGGAACTAGGTTGCCTGTTCCTTATTATAATTCAATGCCTGATGATCCGAGGTGGAACAGTTTTATCCTGATACCATCCCCACCCTCTCACCCCAGGTCCTTGAAAAAAAACTGTCTTCCACAAAACTAGTCCCTGGTGCCAAAAAGGTTGGAGACCACTGAATTAGACTGATTTCATGACCTATATATCAATTTAATTTCTACTCCTACTGCTGTGCTCTATTACATGCCTACAGTGAACTCACATCTGGGATGACACAAGTTCAGCAAGAAAATCTGTCGGCCAGGCATGGTGGCTCTGCCTGTAATTGCAGCACTTTGGGAGGCCAAAGCAGGCAGATCACTTGAGGTCAAGAATTCAGGACCAGCCTGGCCAACATGGTGAAACCTTATTTCTATTAAGAATACAAAAATTAGACAAGGATTGTACCATGCCTGTAATTCCAGCTACTCAGGAGACTGAGGCAGGAGAATCACTTGAACTCAGGAGGCGGAGGTTGCAGTAAGCCAAGATTGCGCCACTGTACTACGGCCTGGGCAAAAAGAATAAGATTCTGTCTCAAAAAGAAAGAAAATCTGTCAAGGAGGCTACCCAAAAACAAGCCATATCTCCAGTCTGCATATTCTTTTTTTTTTTTTTTTTTTTTTTTT